TGTGAACCCGGGAGGCGAAGCTTGCAGTGAGCCAAGATGGCGCCACTGCACTCCAGCCTGGGCGACAGAGCGAGACTCCGTCTCAAAAAAAAAAAGAAAAAAAAAAAAGAATGAAGCTGAGCCACTGGGTAAGTGGCTCAAATCAAGATGGATCAAATCAAGAACCACTGGATCAAATCAAGAACCACTACATGTGGATTCTTGATCAAATCAAGTGGATCAAATCAAGAACCACTACACTCACCACAAACACATACAATAAGCATTTTTAAGCTGTTAGAGCCACGCAATTATTTGTTCCTATGACCTTTGACTTCTGTTGGATCTCCCTGTGCTGGTCCACTCTTCTTTCACCTCTTTCTCTAGGCTTCAACTCTGCCCCTTTATTAGGTCAACATGTGTACTTCCTGCATTATTGTATCATTTATCTTTACCACAAGAAGTATGTAATTTTAATAGAAAAGAGAGTTCTCATTTAACTCTCTAATGACACAATTTTGTGACTATTTAAAGCAAGTCATTTAGCCTTTCTGAACCTTAATTCTCACATCTGTAAAACTGATGACTACTTACGTATTTCCTAGGCTTGCTGAGTAAAGCAATTATAAAACACTCATCAATGTGAAAAATAACGTAGAAAGGTTCTGTTCTCCATGCTTCAAAAACCTTTGCTGCTAAGAAAGCTGCCAATACCTGCTTTGGGCATTGTGGGTGCTGCAGACTAGGAGCTCTAAGGCATGTTCCCCATGCAGAACAACCAGTCCCAGAGAAGATACACTATGGGAGATTCTGCTGGTCTTACAATAGAGGTGGAAGTCTAGAAGAGCCTCTTTCTTCCAAAAGAAAGAAAGAAAGAAAGAAAGAAAGAAAGAAAGAAAGAAAGAAAGAAAGAAAGAAAGAAAGAAAGAAAGAAAGAAAGAAAGAAAGAAAGAGAGAGAGATAAATTAGTGCAGCCATTATGGAAAACAGTATGGCAGTTCCTCAAAAAACTAAAACCAGAACTACCGCATGATCTAACCATCCCACCACCAAGTGTATTCAAAGAAAAAGAAATCAGTATGTCGAAGAGATCTTTACTCCCATGCTTAGCACAGCACTATTTGCAATAACCAAGATATGAAAACAACCAAAGTGGCCATGATGTAGATAACTGATATGGTTTGGGTCTGTGTCCCCGTCCAAATCTCATGTCAAATTGTAATCCCCAATGTTGGAGGTTTGGCCTGGTGGGAGGTGATTGGTTCAGGAGGCTAATTTCCCCCTCAATGTTGCTTTCATGATATGTAAGTGAGCGCTCGTGAGATTTGGTTGTTTAAAAGGGTGTGGCACCTCCCCCATCTCTCTTTTCCATCTGCTCCAACCATGTAAGACATGCCTGCTGCTTCTTCACCTTTCACCATGCTTGTTAAGTTTCCTGAGGCCTCTCCAGCCATGCTTCCTGTACAGCCTGCAGAACTGCAAGCCAATGAAACCTCTTTTCTTTATAAATTGCCCAATCTTAGGTATTGATAGCATGCAAGAATGGACTAATGCAATAATGGAACATTATTCAACCATAGAAAAGAATGAAATATTGTCATTTGTGGCAACATGGATGAACCTGGAGGACATTAAGTGAAAGAATCCAGGCACAGTAAGTCCCACATGTTCTCATTCATCTGCAGAAGCTCAAAAATTTGATCTCATAGAAGTAGAAGTAGAATAGTGGTAACTAGAGGCTGGAAACTAGTGACTGGGAGGGGAGATAGGGAGAGGTGGGTTAATAGGCATAAAATTATAGCTAGACAACAGGATTAAGTTCTAGTGTTCTATTGCACTGTAGGGTGACTATAGTTAACAATAATTTATTACATACTTTCAGATAGCTAGAAGAGAGGGTTTTGTTTTTGTTTTTGTTTTTGTTTTGAGATAGAGTTTCACTCTTGTCACTCAAGCTGGAGTGCAGTGGCGCAATCTTGGCTCACTGCAACCTCCACTTCCTGGGTTGAAGAGATTCTCCTGCCTCAGCCTCCCGAGCAGTTGGCATTACAGGTGCACACAACCACGCCCAGCTAATTTTTGTATATTTAGTAGAGACGAGATTTCACCATGTTGGCCAGGCTGGTCTTGAACTCCTGACCTCAGTTGATCCACCTGCCTCGGCCTTCCAAAGTGCTGGGATTACAGGCGTGAGTCTCTGTGTCTGGCCTAGTAGAGAGGATTTTGGATGTTCCCAGCATGGAGAAATAATCAATTTTGAGGTGACGGATATGCTAATTACCCTGATTTGATCATTACATATTGTATACCAGTACTGAAATATCACTTAGGGACAGGTGCAGTGGCTCAAGCCTGTAATCCCAGCACTTTAGGAGGCCGAGGCGGGTGGATCACAAGGTCAGGAGATCCAGACCATCCTGGCTAACATGGTGAAACCCCATCTCTACTAAAAATACAAAAAAAAAAATTGCCGAGCGGTGGTGGGCGCCTGCAGTCCCAGCTACTTGGGGGGCTGAGGCAGGAGAATTGCTTGAACCCGGGAGGCGGAGCTTGCAGTGAGCCGAGATCACGTCACTGCACTCCAGCCTGGGTGACAGAGCAAGACTCCGTCTCAAAAAAAAAAAAAAAAAAGAAATATCACTCAGTACCCCATAAATATATACAGTTTTATGTCAATTAAAATAATAATAATAATAAAAAGAAAATGGGGGAAAAGAGCTGAGGCCTTGAGGAGCAGGTCACTGGGAGGAGCAGAGCTACCTTGGGGTGGCTGCTGGTGGAAACCAAGATTTGGATCTGGTCTGAGGTGGCAATGTGCAGCCAGGGATTCTGCACTGAGGCAATAGGAACAAATGCCTGACGATAGCCCGAGAACCCCTTTCCTGGAGTAACTGTGTGAGGTTAAAATCAAGGAACAAAAGTGGAAATCAAATCTGTACATTTGTAAATCACAATTTCATGTACTGCATAAACAACTTTTTATTGTTTATTTTAAATGTTCTATAGCGTGTTTGTATACTCAGAAAAAAATGACTTTAAAAAATAATTTGAAAATGAAAGAGATATAATAGCCCTAAACATAGAAATAGTAGTATAATGATGGCACTTTAGGAATCATCAAAAAAGATACAATGAAGGCTGAAAATCAATATGAAAAATGGTATAATGATACCAAAAAAACAAGTGTGTGTATATATTGTACAATTAAAACTATATAAAATATATACAAGAAAACTAGAAGGGAATATATGAAAACACTGATAGTTGTGTTATGAAGGTTTTAAAAATGTTTGAGCAATTTTTAAAATTTTCCCCAATTTTTAAACCTTTAAGATTGTTTTATTAATTCAAATCTTTACAAATATCTCAGGGCTTTTGGGGACAAAGGACAGCTAGAAATAAAACAAACCCAGAATACAAATTATTCACACGGAATGCTGCGACTCTGGGGTGGTGAGATTTAGGGATGGCTTCTACCAAGTGAAAGAAATGTGGGACCATGGATGGAAAATACAGGCTGTTCTCACTTCTTTCCGGGGGCTCACAAAGATGAGATGGGCCTTGTGATCTTCAGAGAGTGAGCTGTGTCTTAAGAGTTACCAGGATTCATGCTGCTCTCCAGATGTATTTACTTTGTGTAATCCTTGAGCCTTCAATAAACACTGGTTTGAACACACTGGTCTTGTTTCTGCTTGTTGTGGGCAAAAAGGGAAGATCATTGTGGCCATCTCACACTTCACTGGGACAGAACGTCGTGCAAGGGAATGGATTAGGAAATGGAGTCAGGGGCTCTGGACTCAGCTCTTCCCTTCCCAGTGAAGAGAGTGTCCTCCTAGTGACGCTCTGGAAGTTTCAGGGCTTTATTTGAGCTCTGGCTGGAGGCATTTCCCATCAGCTGTCAGGTGGCTTAGAGTAGAGGGAGTAGGTGGCTCAGAGCCACAGGACAGCTCGTCTGTGGCTGTTGCCCAAAGCTGCTTTGTGGTTGCTAAGTGGCCAACATTCATTAGCAGTCTTCGATTCTGTCCAGTTACAAAATGACACTCAAGATGCTTAATCTCCTCTTAAAACAGGAGCGCTTTCAAGCTGTGGCTGAAGATTCCATACATCAGGATAGTCTCAGCAATGATTTTTTTTTTTTTCTCTGAGAACCAATCATTAACTAAGTTGCTACCTCTTTAAAAATTTTGATCCACTCCTGCTTCTTCATCCCTGCTGCCGCTGCCTGGGTGCCCCCATGATTTTATGTCTATGTTACTGCAATTGTCTGGGAATTATTTCACTGCCTTTGTTCTTAGGAATCTCACTCCGAAATGACCAGAATGCTTTTAAACATAGATTTGACCATGTTACCCCAATATTTAAAACCCTTCCTTGATTACAGGATGCAGTCCACATGGCCCTTCATTGATTATAGGATACTGTCCACATTTCTTAGTCTGAAACTTTAGATGCTTTAAAATTTCTCCCCATTCACATTTCCAACCTCATTTTTTTTAAACCACTGGTAATATGTTCTAACTACACAATACTACTTAAAAGTCCTTTTTTCTTACTGTCTTTTTTCTTTCTTTACTTCCTTTTTTGCTCTGTCCTTTCTCTTCATCTTATTTCTTAAAACAACAGGAACAACAACAAAAATCTCCATAAACATGGGAAATAAAAATGAAAGAAAAATTTACAATCTAATGACCTCAACAAATAATTACTTTAATATATTAGATAGTAGTCTATTATTTCTTCTGCGCACACTAATTCTGGGTTCTAAACATTTTAATTATTCTTCTTTCGAAGAAGTGGAGGTTCAGAGCAATCCAGACAAATTTTCTTCATTTTTTTATGTCACTCCTCATCTCTTGTTTTAATCACAGGTTAGGAGGTATAAAATTTAGTCCTTAAATGCAGAAAAGCAAAATACCTACTGCACTTTCCTCTGACTCCATACATTGATTCCTGTTCCAAATTCCATTCTTGCCAAGCCTCCCCCACTTTTCCCTGAGTTGCATCAAATCCTCACCGTCCTCTAGCCACAGCGGCATCGGCTGAGACCTTCATCCTGATTGTTCCTTAGGTGCTGTTTAGTGCCAGCCACTGAAGAAAACCCCCTTGTTTCCACCCACGCGGCCCCATCTGGTTTCAGGGTCTCCTCTGTGCTATTTTGGGGTGTGAGGAGATCATTTTTCAACGCCCACAGTGTGCGGGGGCTGGGAACTCTGCATCCTCCCCAATACTTTTATTTCTTCTCAGAGGGGTCTTGCCTCCTTTCCCAAGCTCAGCCTGTGGAGTAAAGCGCAGACCCCATCTCTCGGGTACCTAAAGACGCCACCGCCCTCTCTGCTTCTCCAACTCTCCTTTTCCAATCTTTTTCTAGTTTGAGTCTCCTAAGGAGACTAGGAGTTCTCCTAAGGAGCTAGACTTAAAAAACGTAGAAATCTGAAAAGATTCCTTTTTGGTGCTTGTTGCCATCCTGAGTTCTTCCTGAGATGAAGGTCTAATCTGGTGTTTGAATGAAGGCAAAGGTCAAGGCAGAAAACGAAACACTGGGGAGGCCTTTAATATTTCTAAAATACTCTTTAGACACAATAGCAGAGAGAAAATTTTGCTTTCTGCTTTTTTTAGTTGACCGAAAGTATCACCAAATATTATTACTTAGCCTTTAAAATAACTTTTAATACTTGCCTAATCATACATTGCCTAAATTCCAAGAGGCATGGGTTTTGTTTTGTTTTGTTTTGTGAAAGACTCTTGTTCCGTCGCCCAGGCTGGAGTGCAGTGGTGTGATCTCGGTTCACTGCAACCTCCACCTCCCTGGTTCAAGTGATTCTTCTGCCTCACCCTCCTAAGTAGCTGGGATTACAGGCATGCACCTCCATGCCCAGCTAATTTTTGTATTTTTATTAGAGATTGGGTTTTGCCATGTTGGCTAGGCTGGTCTTGAACTCCTAACCTCAAGTGATCCACGCGCCTCGGCCTACCAAAGTGCTGGAACTATAGGTGTGAGCCACTATGCCCGGCTTTGTTGTGTTTTTTGGTTGTGAGGAATGTTGAAGCTCACTGTGAGGGAGCCAGAGGTGTAGAGAGGACTCTGGGAGAGGGAATTTGTATCAAAGGCGACTTCAGGGTCCTCAGTTTCTGGCTATCACTGCCAGCAATGAAACGATAGAAACATGAACGTAAATTAGACACATTTATTTGAGTTTCTGTCTGTGTTTATATTAAACAAAGAAGTTCTATGGTTGTGGGCTCCCCAAGAGCCTGATGCTTTCTGAAAGATCAAATATGTACCTCATATCTTTTGGTTGTTGTTGCCATTGTTGTTATTGAGACAGTCTCACTGTGTCGCCCAGGCTGGAGTGCAGTGGTGCAATCATAGCTCGCTGCAGCCTCAACCTCCCAGATTCAAGTGACCCTCCTGCCTCAGCCTCCCTAGTAGCTAGAACCACAGGCATGTGCCACCACTCCCAGCTAATTTTTTTTTTTGAATTATTATTTGCAGAGACAAGGTCCATTATATTGCCCAGGCTGGTCTCAAAATCCTGGGCTCAAGTGATCCTCCCACCTTGGCCTCCCAAAATGCTGGAATTACAGGTATGAGCCACCAGGCTCAGCCTACCCCATGTCTTAGAGCAGTTCACAATTGGGTAGGTAACACCAAATAAGAGCATCATAGATATATGGAGAGCTTGAGAAAATAAGTAAAAAGGCTGTTTGCTATTTAAAAATTGAGTCTGCTGGCCTTGATATAATATCCAGTACACTAGACTCTGATCCAATGGTTCAAGTTCAAATTTACTTAATTTTGTTTGCATATAACATGACATATTGCAAAGTACTTTCACATCTAGAATTTCTACATAGAATGAACCCCAAGGTGGCAAATTTGTTGGAAGAGAGATGAGAAGATCAAGTGAATTATTTTGAAGCAGGCTTTGCATAACAAACACAAGACTTTTTCCTTAGATTGTGTATTTGGGCCAATGGACATTGATCTCCAGCCACCCTAGGGCACAGCTACTGAAGGTAGGTACAGGCTTGGGTGGTCTGACAGTCCTTGTTATGTGATCTTGAGCAACTTACATAACTTCTTTAGGTGTTAATTTTCTCATTTGAAATATGAATAACCATATCTACCTATTAAGGTTATGATAAGGATTTGAGACAATGTAAAGTGCCTGGCACACAGTAGGTATTCAGTAAAAAGTAGCTATTATTCGTAAATATTATTCCCACAAAAGCATTTATGAGCACAAACAGGATAATTATGGAGGAAAGATGAAACTAAGAAAACAAAACAAAACTAACACCAACAACAAATTACTCAGCCTGTGATGATTGTCCTTTTGGGAGTTTTAAAAAGCTGATCATTGCTTGATTTCATGATATTATCCTTCCCCAGGCCCCACAAAGTATTATATGACATGTTTATTAGTTTAAGTGGTTTTGCTTCTTGAGACTTTAGAATTTTGTAACACCCTTTATGCTACTGAAGATTCTCTGGGGAGTTACAAAACCAGTATCGAGATTTCCTTTTAAAATATTAACAAAAAAGTAAATAAATTATCTCTCTCTAACACAGGCAGAGCCAAGATAACATCTAATAAAGGGCTGGCTTCATACCTAGGCTGACAACAGAATGCTATTTAACCACCTTGTCCCTTCCCTCTGTCTTGCTTCCCCTTGCCCTTCCCATAAATAAGCACTGGAAATTAAAAAGCTGCAATTCTACCCCAAAGTAATTACCTTGGTGCATAGATAGGACATTCCAAAGGGCAGAGAAGAGCATGTACTAACGATAAGAAAAGAAGAAAAACCAGAGAGTGAGGACCAGTGCGCATAGGATTCAAGGAGTAGCTCTGGACAAGAGCAAATAGGATGAAAACCCTAAAGAGGATTTGGGAGGTGGAACACGGCCAAGGAGAAACGACTACAATATATACAACCCAGTTTACCCTCCTGATGCTCATACAGCAATTGGGTTCGATAGTGTCCTGAAAAAAAAAAAAAAAGCTTCTCCTCCCAAATCTCTCCAAAAGCATAAGTGCTAACTGCAGAAAGGTCAATGAACTCTTACCTGAGAATATTCTAACCACGCTTAGAAATCAGTATTTCTTAGGAAACTTGAGTTCTTAGCCTAGTTCTGCTATTAATGATTTGGGAGAGTCTGAGGAAATTACTCTACCTATTTTGACCCCAGTGACCTCATTCGTATTCTTCTGTTGAACAAGTATTTGTGTAGCAACTACCAGAAGCCAGGTATTATGATACATGTTGATGGCAAAATGGAGAATGAGAGCGGCATGTTTTTTGACCTTATGGAATTCACTGTGTAGTGGAAGTAGACTAAACACAAACACAATGAATCCAATGAAAGGTGAAGAAAGAACATTAGGCTGAAGCTGCATGATGGCCAGGGGCACTGAGGCTGGCAAGACAGGTCAGCCTGAGGACTGACACGGGAGGGGCCCCAGGGAGAGCAGGCTGAGGCAAAGCCTGAAAGGCCACATGCTGCAGGGCTGTGGAGGCATAAGGAAACCATGGGTTTCATTTGAAACGCAATGGGAAGACCCTGGAAAAACAAAAGCAGAGGTAGGATGGTTTATAAATATGTATGGTTTATAAATATGTCACATTCCTAGCAGTTTGAAAATTCTATTATTCTGACTATCCATCCTAAACACTTATGGCCCAAGTAGTCTCTTTAATGTAAGAGAAATTTCTCCAACCTGAAGAATAGTCTTTGGATTAGAAAATCTCTAGGTACCCTGTGACCTCTCCTCTCACCTTCTACATTCACCTGGCATGTTTATCTCTCTCTCTTTGTGACCATTCCCAGGTCTGCAATTTCTTGGCATCTTCCTTCAAGCCCCACATCCAAGTATACTTCTCAAACCTTATTGACATTTGATGAACTGCGTTCCAACTTGCCTTCAATTCCCTGTAAACCTGGAGTGTCACCTGACTGAAGCCTCTAGCTTTAGCATGCTAAGCCATGAGAATTCTTCTCCATGAAATCATTTACTTTCCCATAAAATCTGCTTGAGAACTGTTTAATAAGCTCCTTGTCAAGGAAGAGAGAAGGAACTCAACAAACATTTGTATTGTACCCTGCATCTCCCACAAAGATAAAGTTGTTGTCTCCAAATTACGGCCTCTGTAGACATCCTAAACCCTTTAGGCTTAAGTGTTTTAGGATATCCAGTGAGAATTCAACAAACACCACATGGCGGGGAACCATAACCACAATGTCTGCTTTTCAGCACTTTAACTCGTGGGATCTGAGGAAAGAACTGGCCTTTCAAGACTCCATTTCTCACAGAAGTACAGTCATTTCTGCCTCATGTGTTAATTTAGTTTGGCAATATATTGCAGCTATTGTGCAGCTTTTGTGTTTTATGGTTTGACAGAAGAAGGGACAGCTCTAATACCTTTGAATTCTGTATGGGTTGTGGGTGCCCAAAGCCGACATTTTCCAGCAGCTGGTAAACAGCTTTAAGATTGAGAATCTCTTCGTTTTGCTCTCATTTGCCTGGAGGGTCGTAAATGTCAGAGTCTTGTAACTTACGCACAAATAAAGCCCACTGGTAAGTCTGTAAAAGCAGTCTGGACACATGCACACAGTGAGCATATGAAGACACTTCATTATTTCTTTTCCTGGTGGCAGTGCAAGGAAAGAGCATGGAAGAGATACCCGCCCAGCTTCCAGATGAACTGCATGTTTAAAGCTTAGTTGAAAGATGTACTTAGCATTCAACTGAAACATGCAAGTCTGATGAAAGAGCTATTTTCATCAGGTTTTTCTATAGTTTAAACAATTTGGAATAAAATGATTGGATTGTTAGATCAGAAAGAAGGGCAATTACAATGCACAGACCATTTTCTAAGAATAGTTGTACTTATTAAGAATTTAAAAACAACCTCTTTCGTTGCCTTTTACGTTTATTCTCATCTTTTTAAAAAACTCTCACTCTACCTCTTTTTGTAGGATTATGTCTAACTACTGGTTATTTTTTAAAATTTCAGTTTCTTCAGAATTATCTGTTCATTTGTTTTCCAGAATGTTAAGTCCTCCTGGCAAAGTCTTACAATCTATTTTCCTTGAACCTATAAGAACCTTGTTAACTGTGTGATATGCAGCAAACCAAACATTTGTGTAGTATCTGTCTGCCTAGGAGATAAAGCTGTTCTTGCAATTAAAGTCCTGGAAGACATCAATAACCCCCTTTTGCTTTAGGCATTTCAGGAGAATTGCCAAGAGAGAAAGAGGGAGGGGAGACAGAGCTGGAGAGGGGGAGAGAGAGGGGAGACTGAGAGAGAGGATCAACTCTAGATGTATGAAGAACCTCAACCTCGATCTCTTGCAGTAAGAAAATGAATATACTAGGGCAAATAAACATCTTGAAGAAAAGACTTCATAGCAAATTGTTTTTTATTAGGTTTTTAAAATAAAGTTACTGCTTGATCTAATGCAATAATCTTGATTTTTCTATTTTAGTTCAATGTATAGCTGTGTGTTGAATTTTTCTAAGAGAATAAAAACGGCTCATTAATTCCAGTAAATTCATTGAAAGAAAAGTTAATTATAATACTGTCCTTAGTTTTCCCCAAAGATTATGGATATGATGGGGCCTAATTCCAAATTTTTTTATAGACCACTTTTCCAAATACCACAAATCCAAATAAAGTTCAATTTTAAAGGCTTCCATACATTACAGAGTTTTCTTCAAAAGTTTTCTCCAGAGTCGAGCCAATTTGTAAACTGTCCTCAAAGCCACAGTGACCTACTTTGATGATTGAAATGCTTTGTTTGAAAAGCAAAAGATATATTTTATGAAAATGCTTACATTAAAGAACACAATTATTACAACAAAATGATTATCAAAATGACTGCTCTATTGTTCAGTGAATTATAGTTTTCTGTTATTCTAGAAATGAATGTTAGTTCCTTCATTTTCTAAATTAGAACCTTCTGTATGCATAATGTATGTTCGTGGTAACTGGTGTGCATGTGTGTGTCTGTTTCCCACCGTTCCCCTTACTTCAATACCCAGTAAGTTGACACGGCTGCTATTTGTGAATATAACATATCAGGAATCTAAAAGAGTCAACACGAGCTCTTTAGCACCTCAACTTACATTTTGGGTAATTTCCTATGCGAGTCCTTAATGAAAGGCATTCTCTTCGTTCCTTCCCTTTTCTCTCCTCTCCTGTTCTCCCTTGATGTCCCTGGGATAGCACTGGTGAAGACACTGCAATGTACGCAGCTAGTTTCTGCTGACCTGCAGCCTGCTCTTGAATTGGAAATTAGGTCTTCAACATGAGGCTGTCAGCATTTTACCAAAATACTTCACTGATGTGTAATAACACATTTAATAACACATTTAACAAATGGCAAAAAATCAATCATGATCTGAGAGATTTAGGTCTCATTTCTGAATAGAGTAAGTTGAAGATTTCCCAGAGTTGTTTTCTTCTAATAGCATCAAAGCTATATTGGGATTGGCCCAGAAAGCTGTTAAGTTGTTGCAGGGGTCTGATGTCAAACTTGTTTCAGAGGAGCTAACCTAAGTGGCTTCTTGAGCTCCTTTTTT